GCATACGAGCCAAGTGGCCCATCAGGCCGGAGCTTATCCCGGTTTCTGTAGCATGAAGCGACTAGGAGTAATTTTACTCCCCCCTAGATGGGATGCTAGTCCATTGCAGGGTTACCCCCAGCGTTAAGTTTGCCGGTACCCATTTATACACCTGGGTGGAGAGAGGCACTGTGAGAGTAAAGTGTCTTGCCCAAGAACACAACACAATGTCCCCGGCCAGGGCTCAAACCCGGACCGCTCGATCCGGAGACGAGCACACTAACCATGAGGCCACCGCACCTCCCTGGGAAGAACTGGACAGACTTATTAATACCGTAAATCCTTGAATTGGTGCCTCCCCTCAAATAGCGGTAAGTGCCACCTTCGAATAAGCGCCCCTTTTATTGACCAAGATTTAAAGGCAGGGTTTCACAGTTCGGCGATGTCTCTAAGTCAAAAAACTTTTGTTCCCTTGTTATCAGTGTTTTTGCTTTAAAAACCCCACTTAGATGACATTGTAGTACAGTCAGTACATGCTATTGTTAGTTGTAGTAGAATGATGGATGACCAAAATTCTCAGAAGATTTCAACGGATTTTACTGAGATGCTGTCAACTGTTGAATTTATTGTTGACCCGTACAATTTATTCTACCGTTGATAATTTTATGGCTATTTTCATGTGAAATTGGGTAACTTGCTCACGATTAGTTCATAAGCAATGTAAAACTGGGCCTGTGCCTAAAAGCATGCACAGGTAAATAAAATACAGACATGCACCAAACCGTAAAACCCTCCCTTTGAAATAAGAAGGTCCCCTCAAGTAAGAGTCCCCCTCTCTTCTCCCTCTGTTTTATGGAGGAGTACTGAGACACCAAAGGATGTAATAGTTTTGGTTGTGTTCAATCACAAGCAAGTGTTTATCAACTGATTTAGGGGGTTTTGGTAAAAGCAGGCCTGCGGCCCAGCAGCCCGCGGCCCACGACGGCCCGGTGCCCCAAAGGCCCAGTGGCCCACGGCCCACGGTCCGCAACGTCTCAGAGGCCCGGTGGCCTAGTTCTGATTTTCCACAGTTTTTTTTTTCCAGCGGTAAATCCACGTGCATGCACAGATCTGCATCAGGTTTGGGTGTGCAAAATGGATGACGGTGAGTTTGAATTTGTTTACCATTTAGTCATTTGAATCCTTGTTTCTGTTTGTTGCATGTTGTTCAGATAAAAACATTTTCATTCTCTGTCCATTCGTTTCTTAAGAGAAATTGATAGCACAATAGAGGACTTTCATTATCGATTGATGTAAGTTATTTTCAAACCATACCTTGAAAGTGAAAATATCATATACTCATTATTTAGCTTATGAAATTTTCAATCCCAAACTGTGGTTTGAAAATAACTTACATCGTTTGAGAATGGACTTCCTCTCTATCGGGTTCTGTATCCAG